TATATATATATAATACAATATAGTAGAGTGTCAGGGTCCGAATTATTATGCCTGATGATTATGTAGATAATGCTCTTCGATACGGCGTGGTGGGAACTTGCATAACTTTCTTGCTAAATATACGATTTGGCAGCTCGCGCTGAGTTGGTCGGGCCGCCACTCATCGCTAAACGAACTAAGCCTGATTGAAGTTATTTAAACTTACGGCAGCCGCAAACTCAAATAATTTGGCAAATTACTTTTTGTTTTGGCCACGACGACCTTGGTGTTGGCCAACGCTTTTTGGCCCACTCTGTTTAGCACGTTTGGCCAAACACCTTTCAACAGCGCATTGCCTTTGTCACCGCATTAATGACTGCAAACCCAGAAAAAAATTATATATATGTATATATACATTTATTTTGTTGGATGGAGTGCTTCCAATACTTTTGCTGTTCATGTTTCTGCTTTCCAGATTTTGGTCATTTGCCCCGACGACAATTGTTTTGGGCGCCTTTTATTGTTGTCCTTCATGCTCTGTGCCGTCGTTTGCTTTCTGCAACAAATTCTGGCAACGTGCCTTGAATTACAATTATTCGCCAGTTTTCCCTCACTTGCCAGCCCCATTTGAACGAGCTGTTCCATTATGATTTTACATTTTATTTTCCGAAATTTAGCATTTCGTTTCTTATTCAATTCGCATTATAGTGGGCTTGGTATCTGCATCTGCATACTGTACTTCAACGCCACTTGTTATCAACTTTTAATGGTATTTTGGCAGTACGAAACTTTTCCGATGCCTCGACCATGGCCCGGGGTCACTGCACATATCTCGGGGCTGTACTAAAATGATGTTTGTTGTGTACATTAATCGCCAGATTGAAATTATGTTTTGTGATATATATTTGTATATATATATATGTATATGTGTGTGTATGCATGTAAATGACAAAGATTTGAAAAGTTTTTCATATTAATGCCGTAGCAGACGTTCCATTTCATCTTCATTTGTGGTCTTAATATTTTGTACTATTAAGGATTGTTGACTTTTCTACTCTAACGTCTTTTTTTTCGTCATTTATAGAAGTAGAGGAAAATTGTAAATTTAGTTGATTGGTTTTGTGGAATGTCTGTCTGTCCGTTATTAAAGCCAGAAACTGGACTTCTGCTGCCAACTATAATATAAAGGATGAAAATTGCGTATACCACTTGAGATGTGGAATATGAAGAGAGGGGAGTAGAGTAGAGAAAATAAAGCTAAAACTTTAATAAATTTTGTTTTAAAGTACTAAAGTCATTGAATTTTTAATATTTGATCTATAATTTAATTATATATTT